TATTTGCTAAATGTAACAAGATTTATATAAAATATTTTTAAAAATTTAAACTTACTAATTATCTTTTTCACTTATATAAAAGTAAGAAGTTAATATTATAACTTGTAATGAATAATAAATTATTAAAGTTATTATAAATAAATACCAATTATTCCTATATAATTGAATTAAAAATAGTATTGTCTATTTGTACTATATATTGTGTTTATTTAAAAAAGATTCATGAATTAGTAATTATTATTTCTTAAATAGTAAATTACATAATTATTAATATAGCTTTCGAAAATTAATGTATATCTAACGAAAGTAAATATTAAAAATTTATTCATAACGTATTAAATGGCTTTATTATTCGAACTTTATTAAAAATTTATTATTTAAGAGAATGTATTTCAAAATAGTTATTTAAGTTAAAGAACACGAAAGTAATACAAGGAATTTTTCAAAGTTATTCAATTAGTGTCAGTCTTTTTTGAAGTTATTATTTAACTTCTAGAATGTTTTGGCTTGTGGCTCGAGATGTTTATTCTTTGTATAATAGTCGTAGGAACAATTAGTGGTAGGAACAAAATTTAAACAAAAAATTCAGCTCATGTAAATAACATGTATATAAAAGGAAATGTTAAAACTATTGTGGGAACATATTTTATTATGACCACATTATCATTTGAGCACAGCACAAGTACTGTACTATGTATTGTTCTAACTTGATTTACGAAATCTCATTATGTTGATTCGTAATTTTTAAATTTATTTTTATTTGTATCTTTAGAAATAAATTCCTTCAACATGTCATTTATTAATGTTTTTAGGTCGTTTGTCCTTCTATTAATTTCATTTGAAACCACTGAATACTGCCACTATTTTTGTTAAGACCATAAAAGAATTGCTGCGCATATTGAACTATATAAATTCACGAGTGAAAAGAATTTTAAGGTTCGATAGAACACCGTCATAATGAGTGTTTGAACATTGTCAATATTCTTAATAGAATTTTAATAATGATTGAAAGGCGTATAAAATGTTGTAATGGAAAGAAATTCTATGTTTTGAAAAGATTTTTAATATATAGCAGAAATTACTACAAATTTTTCGATATTTGGATAATGACATTTTAGATATTTTGGTAGAATAAATTAAATTATACTTACCATATTTACATAGAATATTATCTATTTAATTTATTTTAAAAGAAAACAATCAAATGCATTTTAAAATAAATGTATCATAAATAAAATTGTCAATTAATAATAAATATTCAACTTGTACATGCGTGTCTTTTGAAAATAATTTCGAATCACTTTCATTCTATAACTATTATATTGAAAATAAGTAATGGTTTTATTAAAATACATGTACTAAAATAAAATAATCAACTTCACAAATTAATTTTTTTCATTAAATTTATCGCAATAATATAAGTAATATAAATAATAATAATAATATAAATAATAATCTCAAGTTATAAATGTTCGATAATTGGAAAAACATTTAAATATTTTTTAAATATTTAAATGTTTGATTAATTATATTATTATTGCATTGATCATACTATTTATTATTGAAATAGTCTTTTCTACTTATAACTTCCAAAGTAAACTATAATTTATCTTATCAATATTTTATAAATTTTATTAATGACATGAATTCGAAGATGAAAAGTAAAACTCAGTATAGTAAAATAAATATTAACTAACAGGATATGTACATTTGCTTATTTATATTTAGGATCACACTTATATGTGTTTATTTACGTTTAGTTTATTTTATTTTATGTGAGCATTTATATGCGTAGGAACGAATGTTGAGTGTGCGCGAGTGTGTATTCATACTTGATTAAGAAGCAAAAGTAAACATAATAGACATGTTGATATTTAATGCTTTTATTTTTTTGCATTTATAAATAACTTTTTGAATTAAAGAAACGCATTTCAAGATAAATTTGAAGTGCTTGTACTGAAATTTCGAATATATTTTAATCTTAAAGATACTTATAATACAAAATAATATATATAGGAAATATTTTTAATTTATAAAGATGAAATTTTTAATTTACTGTTTGTAAAACAATGTGGGTTACTTTATTGGGTTCAGTTTATTTTGCAATTTAATTACACTAATATTAAACATGAGAAACGTAATTAAATTATACTAACGACCAATTAGTAGTACTTCTTCCAACATTTTTATATTAAAATGAATAATAATATATTAATTATATAAATAATAATGAAATTCTATGATTTTTTAATAACAAGTTAGTTAATATTATTCATACTATGTGGATTATATATCGGCAGTGATGTTATTATTAAATATGTTTTTCAAACTTTTGAATAATAAATTAAATAAAAATTATAAATTTGTATGCATACCTTTAGAAATAATTATGTCATCTGTGGTTATTAAAACAATTAAATTAATTTTATTACATTAATTTTATGAAATTAATTAATAACATTATTTAATGAATAACTATCGATTAATAACTTAATAATTAAATTAATTATTATCGATTACTTCACAAAAATAATATGCAAAAATGCACATTAATGCAAAAATGGGAAATAGATTATCGTACCAAATTAGCTTTCATCTTTACGCAATAAACAAAATTTATTATATATTGATTAAATATAATTAATAAAAATAAAATGAAGATTCAAAACAATTATGTATTTAAATGTGATTGAAACAGTACTAAAACAATGAATGTATGCTTCTTATGTAACCAAATAAAAATTCTTAATTTTCAAATATTTCAATAATATACATCTGAATCTACGATCAATGTTCCACATGCATTCAATATTATTTGCACTCTCTCTCTCTCTCTCTCTCTAATCTGACAATTCATAAACTTGTCGATAGTTTCAATTTATTTGGTACAGTATATACTGTACCAAATAACGTCAAATTCAATTACATCGACATTTTTTACCAAGTTGTCAATGTCGAGTCAAAAATTCGTTTCACTTACAAATTTGTAGGTACCTCACATACCATTGTGTATTAACCAACGAGTAAATGAATAAATGGGTACATCTCTTCTATGACCTTTCCTATAAATGTCAATCTCACTTGTAATTTTGAAGTTTGCTTGAGATCTAGTTAAAGTTGGAAACAAATCACAATCCAACGGAGAAGGATATTAATGAGATTCTACAATAGCATTTATATAATGTAGAAGAGTATTCGACTAGAATTAAACGATATTACATTGCTAAAATTTAAGTTCTTTGAATAATTGTACTAATCATTAATTAAGAATTAATTTAAAATTATTTTATATACAAATTTATAAAGCAATATTTTTAAAATTATTTAACTTTTTCTTTTTTAAATTAAAAAAAATTTTTTTAATTTAAATATTTATATTTTAATAAATTATTAAAGAATGCGTTAAAAAATTTATGTCTTATGAAATAAATGAATATCTTTAAAAAGCAAATATAATTTCAACGAAACGTAATTATAACAAATTTAAGCAAATAATTAAAATTTATAAATAGATTTTTGTTTATATAATATTCCAAAAGATTCTCTCAAATATATGAATATATTATGAATATAAATATAATAATTAAAAAACGACAATTCTGTTGAATATAGTTTTAAAATAAAATATATAATCATCAAGTTTTTAATATTTAAAAGAAGGTTAGTGACATTAAGCAATTATAAAAATTACTAATCTGGACTATTTCACTAGTAATATTCAAAACGTCTTAAGAGATAGAAAATTAATACAATGAAAAAAATTTAAGTAATATTCAAAGTTTATCAGAATCCGCCTGATGGCATTAAAATTCGTTCAATAAATGACTTTCTTCCATATTATTCTTATATTCATCCCGTTTCAAATATTTGTATTAATTATATCACTACTGATATTGATGAAAATAAAATTTAACGATTTATTATTTACAAGATTTTAAAAATTTACCTGAATTAATCGAAATTGTGTGCTCATATTAAATATTGCAAAAAATGTTAATAATGTATTTAATAATTTGATATGTAATACAACGATATTCACAATTTCAAAAACTGAATATCGATATTAAAGATGTCTAATCAAATCAATCTACTTATATATTACTAATATTTTATTTATATTACTAAATATAATTATAATAATGATTATTTAATAAATTAAAATCTTAGAACATTATCAATTATATCATTTAATAAAAATGTTTAAACGTACGTAAATAAATATTTTTCATTTAAATATTCAATATATGCAAAATTATATTGAACATAGGAATAAAATGTATTTTATGCTTTACTTAAATGTATAGATAATATTAATAATTACTTTCAAAAATTAATTTAGACATCAGCGATAGATCTCGGTGCCCAATAAATATAAAATCGTCCAAATTGAACTATGTCTTCATATATAAACTGAGATGAAACTTAAAGCCACATTTAAAGTTTATTGAAAGTTTAATATTTGTTAAAACTACCGAATATAGTTCATTTGAAATCATCTTATAATGTAATAATTATTATCCACTCAAATGTATTTTGCCCGTGTTATTCATATAAATTATCTGATATACAATCTAGAACTAATCCGAAAACGAATAGTCAAGTAATTAATTGTAGTATATTACGGTAAATGAATGAGCTGACCAACAATAAGGTATTTATTAATACAAACGAGCAGGTAGTAACTATTTTACATTCTTGATTAACGTACTCAAGTAATTTAATACTCTATTTTTACGAAAATTAAATTATTAATTGATAAATGTAATGGTAAGTGAGAAATAAAATTTTATGTATTTTAATACCTAAAGTTATAAAATTTAAATTATAAAGTTTTTCTTAAAGGGAGTACGCATATATGACAAACAATAATAAGATTATACATAACGATTGTTAAATTATGTTATATTTTTTTTTTTTTTTTGACAACGATAAATTTATATTTATTTGAATGACTATTGAAGGAAAAGACGTTAAACTGTATTCATGATTTCTGCTTGCAGTATCGGAATTTGCCGAGGCATTGGGTAATGCGATTGAATCCCACAATCAGAGTATCATCCGACTCGTCGATGACTTCCGAACTCGGGAAGTGAATTCGGAAGGAGAAGCGAACGGTGTGCAACGACTGTGGGAATACTTGCTTCGACAAGTTGAAGCTGATGCCACCGCATATCTTCATCTTGGCTCTCTACTCCAACAACATTTATCGCGACACACACTCGAAAATTGTTTCTATCATAAAGCCCAACACAAAGAGGTAAACATTTATTCGTAAAATAATAAGACCTATAAACGAAACGAGCTATTCATTATTTTTAAAAAATTATTATATTGTACAATATTATTTCCTACGTATTAATTTATCGTTTCTAAAAATATTCTAGACTACATATTCACTGACCAATTTGGTAGAATGTATTTTCATAATCTTATAAATTAATAATATTAAAAATAAATTGCAAAATGAATATTTAGGAAAAATATATACAGTTATGTAAATTTATAATGCGTAATGTTTATTTACTAAACTATTACTATTTAAATTATCATTTGTTTATTTGTATCTTTGCTATAAATATAATTTATCAAATCTTCATCCTTTAAACTGCTTTCTTTTTAAATATTTCTATCTTAATTGGTACTCATCCTAATATGTAGCTGAAGGTTGAATGATTAATTGAAATAATTTTTACAATTTTGTTGTTGTTTAGAATGCTAATATTATTGGTATTTAATGTTATTTAAATTGTCAACGTGTGCCCAAAAACTTCGTTGAATAACAATTATTGTATCATTCTATTATATTCCAAATTCGTTAAAAAAAAAACCTTGAATTTTAATTAATTTCAACATAATAATTTCAAACGTTATACATAATAAAAAGGCATAATTTGAAAATAAATAACTTTAGAAAATATTCGTATGTTAATATTGAAATGTATGTAGAGATAAACGAAAGATTTCGGACATTCAATTTACTAAATAATGGCAGGTTTTTACTCGTCGTAAAGCATACGAGCAAGAGGTTACTAAGTCGGAGAAAAATTTACAACGAGCACGAGCAGATTACAAGCAAGCTTATGGGGCACTCTTAGCGACAATCGAATCCAATCAGGATTCCGAACTTAAACGCGCCTACCTCGAAGCTCACAATGCTTATGTGCTCCAGCTGCGAGCTACCAACGCTACGGCCGAACGATACGAATTCCATTGCCTGCCTGGCTTGTTGGGCGAGGTAGCCGAGATCTATGTGCAATTGTGTACCCTCGCATGCAACTGTGTCGGTGGTATCTCCGAGTCTACCAGGGAAAAGGTGAACGAGCAGGCTAAAAGATATCAGGCATTAACGAAGGAGGCCAAGCTCGTCAATCCTCAATCAGATCTACAAGTAGGTAATTTCGTTCGGTAACTGTCCAACTTTTAACTTTATTAAACTAAGCATTTGATAATGTGAGGGATATATTTTGCTAGAAAATCATGAAGTAAGTTGGACTAATTTACATAATTTTTCAATCATTGTCTTGCATTGAAAATTATTTATTTTTTATATAATATCTTGTTGCACTACGCTTTTATTTTTCAATGTCGACCCACTTAAGATTCATAGGGTATTTTAAATATTATTAATTTATACCACTAAACAATGTAACTTGTAAATAAAAATATTTGAAGATTATTTATAAGTAAATGATACTCGATCATTATTTATGTTATTTTCTTATTATACTCGTTTATTATTTACGATATTCATCTTTATTATTTGATATCACAAAATGGAATCAATCAAAGAGAGGACTTGAAAACCAATTACATTTATTCCATAGGGAAAATCGATGTATGGAAAGTCAATTAAAATGATTGCAATAAATAATATAATTAATATTATATATAAACACTGCTTTTGTAGTTGGTGAATGTATTTATAAAAAACAGCTAATCACTTTATTATAAGTATATGTAATCCTCTCAATTCAATAAAGTATATTAAAATAATAATCAAGAATACGAATATAGATATTACATTTGTCAAAATAATTTATTTATTATTAATTAAATTAATGATATTTGTTTCGAATAATTATTGAATCAGTACCTACTGATTATTTCAATATAGTTATTATATTATAATAAAACATAATTACGAAATAAAATTTCATAAAAATTATAAATTATAATCCAGTACATTTTTCTTTGTGCTTTAGAAAACATTTCATATAACATTATTTAACACCTTTGAGAAATAGTTTCTCCTATTCTTTCATTTTAATTAAATGAATGAGATAATTAAAAATATGAAATTATAATTAAATTTAATTGCTATATTAATTTGGCTAACTGTTTATAATTAATTTTTGACAAACTCAAATATTAATTGGTTGCATTTGGTGAAATTACACAATTGAAAATATAAAAACAAACTACGATTGTACATAAAATAAATAATGATTTTTAAGATGGAAGATTGGATGGAATACATTACTTACTACTGGTTGATTATTACGTTGCATTAATATATTAAATTTATTTTCAATAAATGACAAATTATTTATATCGTATTAGAAGAAATCATATCCTATTCTAATATTATATAGGAGTAAAAACATAATAATAAAAATGATGCAAAGAAAAAAACTTTTATTAAAATTTTCTTAAGCACCTTATACAATAACAATAACAGTTCATACAGAATTTAGTCACGTTTTAAAATTGGAGTAACGATTTAATTTAATAAAGCCTTGATTAATTGAAGACATCATAATAAATATTTACAAATATATAAAAAATAAAAAAGTATTATACTATATTTATTAGTTAGTTTTTATTTATTATTTATTTATTATTGGTTAGTTATTATACTATAACTCGAAATTTAGATTAAATCATTTTTCAAACATTAAAACAAAGCATATTTAATTGAAATTAAAATACTATAGATAATACATTTTCCATTTTACTTTTATAGTTTGCCGATTATATTTTATTCTTATCGGCAATTAGCCAAAAAAATTCTTATTAAAAATCTTTTGAGATAATTACTTGCATTTTATTTTTAAGGTAATTACAAAATGGAAATATAAAGCTTTTCTTTTATGGTAAATAGTTTCTGTTTCAAATATTGCACTTATGTTACATATAATTTCAAAATACTGATAATTATAATGTTTTCTGTTAATTACCTATGAATGGATTATTAATAAAAAAAAAAATAAGTGTACTAACATATATAATGTAGCATATACTTATAAAATTGAGAATATTATTTTACTTATTAATTTATCTGTTCCTATTTTATTCTCAAATTTCAAATTCTTTTAAATTTATAAATTGTAAAAATAGAATGAGCATTTAAGAAATATTTAGTAATATATATATTTATAATGTCCCATAAATATTTAGATAAGGATTATTTATACACAGTTTTATAAATGTGTCTTAATTATTCGAAACAATTTATTAAAAAACTAATATAAATTTCTATATGTATAAGAAAAAACACAAATTACTTTCAGGCTCTAGCACGAAGTTTAGCGGCAACCGCGCAACCACGTAAACCTCCACGTCGATTGTTCATAACACCGTCGCCACCAGAGCAAACTACTTCTGAACGCATTAATAGTGTGCCTGCATTAAGAGATGAGCTTGTACCTACAGGTAATAACAGCCTTGCTATTCTTGAAGAAGACTTAAAACTTGAAGCCGAGAAACTCATAAAACAAATTACCCGACTGCAAGATTCTCTCGATACCCTAAATCGTATGCAAGGCAAGTAAGTAATTATATAAGATAGAAGATATACGACAATTATTATTCCCTAAGCATAGACAATTATAAATTTATATTTTCTAATGTAAGACCGCTGAAAATTTATTTAATTCTTTTATTTCTGTTCTTCACCATTGCACAAGTATCGAAGGTAACTCCTACACTAAAGTAGCTGAATTGCAAGAGGATATTTCAATACAACGTTTCGATCTAGGTGTTGCGCAATTGCATCTGGCTGCTGTTAATGCTCAGGTACTTTTTCTATTATTTTGAAGGATTTATAATTCTTAATAAAATCAATAAAAAGTAATCTACTCTATATACATATAAAATTTGTATATTGTGAAAATTATATTACGAATAAAATTATATTAACAAGGATATGTTTAAAAAAATTTTAATATAATATATCACCGAATTTGTATATTTGTTTGTAAATGATAATATATAATCGTCAAATTAATCATACAAAATTAAATAAAGTCACATAATTAATAATACATATATTCTTATCTTAATTGATTAATTAATCGTATAGAATAAATGTGTGTATATATATATATATATATATATATATATAATAAAGTTTTATAATATACTATATTTTATGAAATTATTTTTTACAATAATAATTATTCTATGATAGTAGTATTTCAAAATGAGTTGTTTTAGCAATTTTTAATAAATTTTAATTAATAATTTTAATATACAAATAAATTTTTTGGATATAATTATAATTACTTTCTAAAACAAATATTGTTAAACTCAAACAATAGACTAATACTATATTTAAAATAAATTCATAAATTTATCTTGTTTTAAATTTCAATGCGATTATATTTTTAACTCTTAGTCTAATATAATAAAAAATCCAAATTTATTAGTCATAGCATTTTCTTTATCAATAAATAACGACATAATAAAAAAATTAGTAATAAATTTATGTTTTATTATATTATTAATTATTGATTGTTAAAAAAAAATATTTTGCAATATATCCTGATATGTACTTATATTCTGGCATGATTTAAAGTATTCAATTTGCTAAAAAATATTATCCTACCTATGATTTATCTAATATTTGTAAGATTTAATTTAAGACATTTTTTCTTTTCGTTATTATTTACAACTCTCGATAAATTACAATATTCATGTAAAAAATTAAGAAATATCCAATTTTTTATTATACAAATAAAACAAACTAAAATTTTATTTAAAGTAATGTACATCTAACAATACGAAATAATAGTTATTTATTGATAAATATAAAGAAAAATCAAAATAGTGTTCGTTTCTTATATCAACTAATTTGTAATCAAATTATTTTTATCAATGAATATATTTAATATATTTAATATATTTTATTTATTTAGTATATAGCAATTATGTTCTTTTGTAATAATAAGTGGAAAGCTTTATATAAAAATCTTATTGCATTAAATTATTATGGACATTTTGTTTTATAACAAATATATACGTGTTATTAACACATCGTGCATACTTTTCAATTCTATGTAATATAGCATAGAATGAAAAAATATTTTATGTTGTGTACTTTTTAAATACGACATTAACTATGACTCACACGTTGTAAATGTACAAATTACATCGTTCTAATGTATGAAATTCATACTACTTTATCATGCGATTTTCATAACGAGTTTCCTATTTTAATATCATAAAAAGCTTTTTTCTTTTATTCATAGATCTATTATTATTACTCTGAGAGATATGAATTTTGTTATCATTACCTTAACTTAAAGTATCTTATTAATTATATCAGTGACGTATATTTAAAATAATATAATATAATTTAAAATAATATATAAAATAATTTAATAATGTAATTCAACATGCATTTTCAATTAAATAACAATAATATAAGTAATTTAAAAATAATAATTTGGTATTATTCATTAAATGATACTGGAATTCTAGATATAAATATATTAGCATCGTAATTTAAAAGAACATAAATTTAATTACAACATTGATTTTGTCAAATCACAAATAAAAAATGGTATATTGTTTATTTTCACATTCATAGTTTTATTTATTTTCATAAAAAGAAACAATATTTTTAATACAAAAAACGGAGTACATATTAATTCATAAAATAGAAAATATATCAAATATATTAGTATAATCGAATACATTGTTAAATTATGCATACAAAAACATGGAGCTGTTGATATTTAAAAAAATATTGAACATATACAAGATAATTACATAAGAATTATTTTGATAAGAAATTTAAAAATTCATAAATCAATTAATCTGACATTCTTTTCATAATACATATTTTATACTTAATATGTCTATTTTTTATATTTAGGAATTACAATCTGTTTTTAATGTAATTCTGTATTTATTTTTTGTATAGTATTATAATAAAAAATGTCAAAATGAAATTTATTTATGTAAAATCAAAAAAAAAAAAAAATTATATAAGAACAGCAAGAAAAATTAACAGAATTTTTTTTATTGAAAGTTATTAAGGCACAATTTTTTAAATAAATAATTGATAATATGAAGAAATAAATTTCTTGTTCTAAAATTATTTATATTCTGATAGTTTTTGAATCTAACTTACTATTTAATATAATCATTAATCTTCTACCTATATATTTTTAAACTGTTATATTTATTATTAAAAAATAGCAATTTCCTATTAATTTATAAGAAAATGAATCAGTTTCATTTTTTATACAATAGGTGTGCAACTCCTAAAGATATAAACATTTAAATCTAAATAATACATGTATAGCATGCATAGGTACGTAAAACTCTGCTGCTTAATACAAGATAATACAATACATTATCAATGATATTTGAGCCGTTATATTTGAGTTTGTACAGTACATTCGAATTTTAATTCATTACTACTCTAACATTTTAATATTTTCTTTCGGAAACTTTGATCTTAAAAGTTATTTATTCTAGTAAAAACATGTTAAAATATTATTTGGAAGAACGAAAACATCTCAAAATTACAGTATTAGAAAGGAAAAATATTTTTCTTAAATAAAATATCTTTAAATAGTTATTATTATTATTATTATTATTATTATTATTTTAATGTAAAACTTTGTATCTATGAATATGGTATCATATGATTAAATACATTATTTATTTGCAAACGTACTAATTATAGTCTTGTTTAGTTTATTTTTGAAACTTCGTATAAATGATTGTTGTATCATTCGTTTACTTTGAAAAGCAGTTGATTTTCAAATTAGTACTTAAATTTATAAAAAACATATAAATTATCGTAGATAAACTTAATACAAATTCATATTTCATTAAGTATTTTTAATACATATTAGATAGAAGTGAAATCATTTTTTACTAATACAAATGCTGTTTTACCAATATGCAATTATAAAGCTACAAACGAAAATCTCAATGTCACTCACTCTCTTTGCACATGCGCGCACATGTGCACCTTGCACATCTGCAGTTTAGAAAATGAAATTTCATCTTTTTATCTCTTTTCAACCCCTTCAGTATTGAACTACATGTAAAATATTACTAAATATTATTTATCATGTTCCTTACATATAAATGCCTCTTTCTTCTAGTTTCGCCCCCCCCCCCTCTCTTGATCTCATTAATTCTTCTCTTATTTTTTACATTTCTCTCTTTGTATCATTACTTGTCCTCCTCTTATTTTCTTTCACTATTCTACATAATCAGAATTTCTTTTTAAATTAAAAATATGATTTGTAATATACATAAATATTCTAATGTATTAGTTAAATAATGTACGGATATAAAAATTGTGATTGCGTGTGCAAGCGAGAAAGTGAACGAACGCCCGCTATTGCCGAGGACGTGACATGCGCTCTCATAACTAGGTCAGAGAAAAAGAATGAGAAAAGGGTAAAAGGAGGAAGAGAAGCGAGAGAAGTGCATAGTAAAAATCTATCCTGCCAACCTAGTCCGACGAGATAAATCGTCAAGAGAAAAAGTGCAAAGACTAAACAATTACTGCACTGTTAAGTGGCTGGTTTTATCTACGACAAATATGGGTTGGACATCTCTTCGTATACGCGTTGTTAGTATTCCTTACATATTATAAAGATTTATGCAATAATTTCAATATTTTGACGGTGTGCGAAAATGTTACTAACTCGTTATTTGCATCACTCGCGTTATGTGTAACATTAGTGCCACAAATGATATTAAAGACATTATTACAACTGTATTGTTGAGGTTAGACTAAGTGAGGATTGCAGCAGTATCACAATAATAGATGGCTTGATTGATACGCTGGAATTTTCTATTATTTTATTATTGCATGGTCCTAGCCACGTGTAATTCAATATTATTTTTTTAAACTCCAAAAACTGATCGTAATCATATTGATATTTTGTAAAACAACGTATTTTCAATACTGACTAGGTCACAAATTATTAGCGACAAATATTTTTTGTTATAAGCAATCTTAATTTATTGTAAATAATATTGCTTCACGGTTTTAGTTAATTTTAAAATCAATCATATAATTATAATAAAGTATTACATGTTTACTCAATTACACATGCATAATCATTTAAATAGGTTCAAAATAAATATATAACGATAATATTTACATATTGCAATATACATAGAAAAATATATAATCAATATTTTTTTTCAATTTAATTACTATTTTCAATAATTAATAATATCGTGTCTTAATTATTATATATAACCAATAATACAATAATTATTAAAATTGTATTTTAAACGTTATCAAAAAACAAAAGCAGTAATATAGAATTTAATTAGATAAGAATCATTTAAATTTTACGTGAATTGATTCGAATGTCTTTGTTATTATAACATTTTAATCAATTATGTATCAATAATAAATGAAATTAAGTAATTTTAGATTTAAGGGTAAAATAAAAAAATGATATTTTCAGTGTATTAAGAAGAATGATTTCAATAAATATTATTTACAGTTTATAGAAACATTAAAATTTTTTTTTTTTTTTGACCTACACTACATCTTTGCTGTAATTGTTATTACATTTTTTATTTCGTTTTATTCAAATTACGAAGGATAACTAGATTCACTACTCACTAAAACAATGTCCATTATAACTTACTATTAATAAATTCATGCTTCTTAATATTAATTATATGTAACAACTTAATATAGCTAATGTATAAATTATGTTTCCAATGAAATAATATCTTGTTTAAAATTTTATTTTATTAACATTTCATAGATCCTATATCATCCCACATAAATTCCAACATATTTGTTACATTTACATTTATATTAAATAAAATGGAAAATTCAAAACAAATTATAATTTTAATAAGGTGTGTTATTTTATATAATAAAAATCCTATTATGATACACGTGTCAACGTTAGGCAAATTTTTTATATTACAAAACAATGGAATATATCAATGTTTTTAAGAATTTCAAGCTAAACAAGTTTTTGCAATTAGACTTCTTACGATATTAATAACTCGTAGCTTTATATAATATTTGATTGGAAAATATTAAAAATAGAACTTATATAGAAATTAATCTATATTATTTATCTACCTTATTAGAAATAAGTAAAGATGACATGTGCTTGCATTATCTATTAATTTCAATTGATATATTTAATTATAAATGTTTAAATATTTGATGAAAATCACAGTTCATCAGAAATTTTATTTGACGGAATATAAATATTATGCAATTAACAACTAATAGTTTCAAAATATTAAGATAGTATTAGTTGCTTATTATATGAAATTTCTAATAATATAATTTGATTTATGAATTATATTATCATTAGCATCTCAAATAACAAAAGGAGCCTACTTCTTTTTCATACTTATACAATATAATTATATAAATACAAGATTTTTCATTCTATTTCAAGTACTTATTATTTTATTATAAATAAAGTCTATTAAATCCATTGATTTGAAGATAGTATATAGTTTTGAAATTTAATAAATAAAACTAATTCAAATAAATATTAATTTATTACTAATCAAGTTATATCAATAATATATACATATTATTTCTTATTAGGCACAAAAATTCATATTTATTGCAATTATGAAATTTAATAAAATATAATAAAATATAATAAAAATAATATTATAAAATTAAACTAGCATAGCACTAATATTTTTAGTAACATTTTTTAACTGCAGTATCGTGTATTGTCAGTACCAAAAAATATTAACTTTATATATTTTATACTATTTATTTATTGGTAATGTTGTCATTTATATTAACATATTTACAATCCTATTCCGTAAATAATTTTGTTTTCTTTGTTTGAATCATTTATATCAAACATATAAATAATATTAGGAATTTATAATAATTTAGACCACTAATTATATGGAAAACAAAATTAAATTACAAAATTAAACTACAGAATTGAAAAAATATAAAAATAACGGATTTACTTATTCTAATAGAATATCCGATTATTTTGAAAGATTTTAGCTTACGTTAACTAGAATATATTACATGTAAATGGTCTCTTACTAATAAATCCGATACATTCAATGAAGTGAAGTAAAGATCAATCAGATGATAATAATCCCTCTATTTATGGCAGCAAAAAGGTAAAATAAAGCAATTATTAATGCAGACCATCATAAGAAACAAAAAATTGTATATATGTACGTATGTGGATAAGTATAAGTGATTATAATTTCTGATAACAATTTTTTTATTTGAAATTATTTTTGCAATGCATTAGTAATACTCACAATACAATTTTGTTTTAAAATAATGATTTTATATATTACAAAGATATCTGGTATTTGCATATTGATTAAAGTATTCTTAATAAATATAAATGTTAATTTTTCTTCAGACTTGACTACTAAAAATTAAAAATTATTTAAAAATAATACATTATAATTTATACATGTAAAATGGATGAAACAATATATAAATGGTTGAATTCTAGAATGAGGAAAAACTGGTATATATATATATATATATATATATATATATATATATATATATATATGTATATATAGTTTTGTATTGTATTTAATTTCAAGATAGCTACGTATATAGAAATTTCTTATAAGCAGAAAGGTATATAGAAAATATAGTGTTATTATATAAATAAATATCACACATTTCGTTCACTAAAACTAATAATTATATGATACTAAAAAACATTTTTCATATATCGCTTGCAGCCGAATCGAATTCTTAATTTGACAAATGTAAATAGAATTAATTATTGATGGACTCTATTAAAATAAGAATTCATTTAATATTAATTTTATACCTTTTATAGAATATGTACATTTGAAACTATATATAATTGTAACTTTTTTAAAAATATACTTGATTTCATCATACTTTCTCACAAATAACTTAAAATAAGCAAATTACAAAATATATATTTACTGAATATAATATAATATAATGTATTACTTTTTTCTTGTAATGTATATCTTAGGCTTTAGTATACCAAGATAGTTACATTATTAAACATTATTTTTTTAACTTGAAGTATCTTATTATAAAAATGTAATTCTTTAATAATTCTTTAATAATACACTATATTACATTATTATAATTTATCTGAATATAACTAATATAATTTTTTTTAAATATCTTATAATTATAATTCTATCGTATAATAGATAAAATTAGAAACATGGAAGTAAATAAATACACGATGGATTCACTTAAACAATTCAATAGTTATTTAATTAGATATTTAGAAAAGTAGTAATATTTAGTCAATTGTTTAATCATACATGAAAATATGGATGTAAATTGCAAGAAGGTTCTTCGTATATTGTAAATATGCCTTATCTTAATTAAGACGTGGTTTTATCCTCGATACGACAAATTAAATAAGTCAGTCCACGCATACATCAAATTAGTACTTATCCGTGACGTGCAATTACCTTCTAGGGAATGCATTCGCGGATCCAATTAAAATCTTCATACGTTTGGCTTCGCAAAAATCGACGACCACCATTTCAGTTGTTGAGAATTCAATATAACGCGCGGACTCGTACTCGCAAATAGTGCAAATATAAGTTTTATCACAAGTAGAAGTGTAAGTGATTCTTAAGTGATAATGATGGTCAGACGGATCCGAAAGAATCGCTCTTTGGAGCAGTGCAAGCATCACGTAAAACGGAGAAAGGCAATTAATTTACTTTGCTTCTGCACAAATAGTGCTTATAACTTTATTAGTATATCATTAAGAAAAGCTAGAATATGAACACTATTAATTTTATATTTATAATTAGTATATATTATATAAATAATAAATTTTATTTAGACAAACTTAACTATTAAATACTTTGATTTACCTTGAGCTTTTCATTTTCATATACGAAATATTTTGTTATTATTCGTAATATTCTTAATGCAATTTTTTTATTATTAAAGTTATTTAAAATTATATATACCGAACATGTTAATCAATTTTATAAATAATGAATTACTAATTTGGTTAAGCTATTATAATTAAGGTAAAGATTAAGATATATTTATTTATCATAAATGTATATAAAAAAAATTTCCATCACTAACATTATATAAATATGATATACAGTATAATTTCAGTATAATATATAATATATAATTTCAATTTTAATGACTTATATGTTATAAGTTTTTACATTATAAAATAGTATATTTAAAAATATGATAAAATTCGTACTCAACTGCATATGCTGCACTATAGTGGTTAATGTATAAATTAAAAATCTTGAGAATAATATTAATAAATTAAACATATTATTAGAAAAATATTCTTATAAGCATATACAATTTAAAGAATGTAATTAATGGGTCATAATAAAATTTACCAATTAATACTATCAATTTATCAATTTATAAATAGAAGAATTTAAAAATTCAATATTATTTATTATTCATCGAACCAACTACCTCTAATTATCAAAAATAGATTGGGTAAATCAATAAGTAATATATAAAATTTTAAACAAATAATATCGAATATTCTTAATAAAGCATTTAATTTTTTTCGAGATTTATGAAGAAAGTAAATGAAATTCTGATTATTTAGCAATTTATTATGTTTTTTTATTAAAAATACAAAAAAATTAATATTACGAATTATTGTATTTTATACATAAATATTATCTATAATTATCAAGAAATATTAAAACAAAAAGAAATTATTAAGTTTGGAGATATAATAATAGGAACAAGAATGAATTTAGAGTGCTACAATAGTATACTAATATAGTCAAATATTAACAAATTTTCAATACTTCAAGTATTTATGTAAATTTTACTTTTATGTTCTGAAATATTGTAATTTAAAAGTATTTTATATTACAATATTAATATATAGACAGAAAATTAATGTGAAATAATATTGATATTTATTGATATTAGAAAAAACAATTCTTGGTTATAGTATGGATTGGCAACTAAAGAATTCTGTTTAGAACACCTACAAAGAAGACACCTACTTAGAACAAATACATAATTTTAAATTAAACAAAATACGATTAATATGTAACAGGACTTATTCTTAGATTTTATTGATACACTAGCAGATATATGAGAAGATAAATCAATAAATTTTAATATTTTATCTTCATCTTTTTAGAAGGAGCTGTTCGGAGGAGGGATAGAAACAGCGCAACCAGAGGGTACGGGAAGTCGAAAAATGTCAAATGGATCAACTGGAAGCACAAAGCCAAAATGGCTTAAAGCATTCAAAAGTCTGAAAACTACGCCAACTATACCTTCATCCAATGAAAAGTTAGTATATTATGTATATAAAAATTTGAGTACTGTTTAATAAAGAAAATTGCGGTAATGTTTTGAATAGTACATTTAACCAACTATTAGATTTAATCAAAAACTTGCAAAATATTATTTATCAATATACAATTTATATATATACATACATATATATATATATATATAGATGGAAATAATTAAAAAATCAATATATACAATATACATATATATTTATATTTGAAAAATTGTCATTTAAATTAAATTAATTTTATTATAAAGTATTTATTAACTCTTCACTCTATGTATAGTATGTACGCCTATAGTCGTCGAGTACTTGATGAAGGTTTATAGTTTAAGGCGCGTTTGTGAGAACCGTGGGCGCCTCTGTGTTGGAATTTACAAAAATGGGAATTATTAACTAGCCAAGAGGCTTCAAGCCAAAGCCAAAGGCTTCCTTGCTTGTACATTTTTCTCAGTTTTTCTAATGATATCTTCGAGGCACTCTGGAATCTCCTGCTTCAGTTGATCCTAAATTAACTCTCCATGTTGCAATTGGATCTCATTTTTTTCATTGACTCCGAATATTCGACATTCTCTTTTACAATTAGCTTATCCCCTTATAAGCATTTACATATATTTTTTCTTTGCCATATATTTCGAACGCGAATGTGTTATTGCTATCTAGATTTCAGCATTCGATACAATAATTACATGAAAAAAGTAGTAGTGTATCAAAAATAAAATAATGGAATTCTGAAAATTATAAAATAATATAATACTAATAATAATGTTTTCATAGATAGTAATAGAGTAATTTGATTTTAATCTATTTAAACAAATTAACTAGAAATTATACAAAATTATAAAATCATGCTATTTTTATTATTATAATGATTTTATAAAACATTAATAAATTCAAATACTTTACTTTCATTATTACATATGAAAATTATATAAATTGTACACGATAAAAAAAAATAATCTACGATTTTTAATATAATATCCATTTGTTAATTGTAATAAAATATTCAAAAAATAAACTTACAATAATTACTTTACAACTATTAGAAAATACAGTATTTATTTAGATTAATTTCGATTATTTTTATTAAGTTTAAATTGTAAATCATATTTTTATTATTTTTGAACATTATACATTATAAAAATAGTTATACAAATATAGAATTATAATGAAATAATAAATAAAGAACTATAAACGAACTTTTCCAAATATACTTATTACTTTATAAATATATATGTATACATTATAACCTAATTTTTTATGTATATTTTTATAAATTTAATCTTCCGATGCTGGTGGAGATATATTTAGTTTCAATATATTTAGCAGATATTATAAATCAATGTTCAAAACTTGTTTTACAGTTATAGAAATTTTTAAAATAAATTAAAATTTATTATATAAAAAATTATCTGCATATTTTAGAGTTGCAAATATCAACAATATAAGACATTTTTATTAAACGCTGTATAAATAAAATTATTTTTCATAAAATTTCATTCACAATATTTAATATATACTTAAAAAATATTTGTAAAAATCAGCATTCAATGAAATTATACTTTTCATATAAATCTTTTCTTTATTTACATTACTCATAGAAGTAAAAAATAATATTTTCAAGGCTTGCATGCATAATATGTATAAAAGTATGCATTATTTTTCACAACTTGCTCTAAGAATATTAAAAAAAAAATTTAATATTACTTATTGTTACGAATAATTTAGAGGAAAACAAGCAATGTATCATGCTGTTTCGACAGTGGTGGCTATGTCCAGGTAAGCAAAGTTATTATTATTAATAAACAAGCACTTTTATGCTTGTCTATTCGTTATAATAATATATAAAATAATTTTCGAATATCCTATAAGAATTTTTAACGTAATAAAAAATTTATTTAAAATAATTATAGTTGAAGATGTATAATAAAGAATTTTTAAGGGGACTAATTTGAAAAAAAAAATAATTGAGAAATATTATATATTACCTATTGATATTCTTATCTTCAACTACATTACATTTTACTACTCTGATATATCTTACATTTATAATTTTTACTATAATACTAATTACTATAGTAATTTATAACTTATTTTAAATTTTTATTTTATGACTTGTATACAAGTATCAAAATATAATATTTCAATTTATAAAATTTAGTGAATAAATATGTAAAATTGTGTATAAATTAAGTATAAAGAGAAAGTAAAAAATTTCTATTAATATCCATATTATGTTATTACTCTTGTATGCCCCCTTAAATTTTATATAAACAAATGTATATTAAAATTAATTAATTTATAAATAAATACTTCTGATTTAAGTTTATTTATTGGTTCTCTTGTCTAATATGTTGCTTATAGATTCAGTTGATTAAAAAACTTTAGAATAATAATAAATATGCTAAAATAATGTGAGTTATGAGAAATATTGAGTTAGCAAAAATATTGAGAGAATAGAAAATACATCATAATACAGTAGAAATAAAATTAATTGGAAAAGCTTCCTGTAGCTGGTGTATGAACGACTGAGAAAAATACCAAGAGAAAGAGGGGGAGAGAGATATATCGAGAATGAGAGATTCATACATAGAGTAGACAAATACAAATAGAAAATAATAGTATTAGTTAATTGGAATGTAATTCTTTCCTTACTTCGATTATCCTATTGTATATATTATATTATTTCGCATGTGTTATAGTTTTTATACTCTCTTATATCTTTAACTACTTATGCAACCATATATCTATCTTCTAAACTGTAACTTTATGTATTGCGTGATAAAACGGGATCCTATATTCGTAGAAAAAACCTAGAGGCTGAGTCTGGGGGTCACAACTGGTACCAATATACCTACCGCAAGATAACGCCTTGTGATGCCTGCGGGCAAGTATTACGTGGTCATTCACTTCAGGGCTTCCGATGCCGCAATTGCAAAGCCAATGCCCATGCAGATTGTATGAGTGCAGTGCAGCCGAGCAATTGCCCGAGCCTGGTGCCGAAACGCGCCACTGTCATACCTCTACTACGTAGGCAGAAGAGCACCGCGCCACCCATTGACGAGACACCATCATCCGAGCAAAGTGAGTCTTCAGTTTAAGATTATGTTCGCGCGATTACTGTGATCTATGCGAATGCCCGGTATATCGCTATATACTTTAATTAATTAATCCTGAATGCTTTTATATTGAATGTCAGTAATAATGTACTCAAGGCCTATGTTTTTAAAGTTCAACATTTAGTATGAGTACATTAATTTTTAATCAACATCTATTGAATAATAGGCAAATGCAATAAAATGGGATTACATTATGTAAACAAATGTAATTAAAAATATTAAGTTTTATCTTCTTTTTTAATATTACCATGTAAAGATCAGTTTATTAATGAATTTATTTTAATTTTAAATTCAAAATCGTAAGACCGTTGATGGATGACAATATATTATTTTCTATAATTAGACAATGTATATATACGAAAAATATAAATATTTGGTAAACAATATTTCTTAAATATTGTTGATATTATCTTAAATTCAGCTCATTAACTTATTCGTCTATTTAAAAGTAAATAAGCATGGTTAAATAAATCTTCAGAAATATATTATTTATATTTTATTATTCAATATTGAAATATTCAGCATTGATATTAACCTTTTCGGATTATTTAAGAATGCCTTATTTGTAATATTCAAAAAATTAATAATTTTTATAACAAAACATTAATAATGCGATATACTTGGTTTTCTATTATTGCAATTACTATCGCACTATCTTTTATAATATTTTTTATGTAGAAGAATTAAATTAGTTCAGTTTTGTACGCCTCTGCCTACATTTAGATTTTTAAATCTTACGTAGTTTTAATTGCTACATTATTTCACATTCGCTATGCCTTGATGCGACTAAAATAGATAGTTTTTCAACCTTTACATTCTTCTAGTATTTTATATTTATCATTATGCGCTCAACTGAAATTTCGTTTCTATATTACATATCCTTTCATTTTGGTTTTTTTTTTCATCAAAAAGTATTTTGTTGAATTGGATTTTATTCATTCATTGAATTTTATTTTTTGATAAACTAAATTATTTCAATTTTACTAAATTAAATTTCCTATAATTATTTACTGTAGATAATTAGTTACAAACTGTAAAAAAACAAAATGTTATTTGATAATAGTAAAAAATAAAACAAAAATATGAATAGCAGTAGTTAGATTAAAAATTTTTTAAATACATGCTCCCTTATATTTAGATCATGTATTTCATTAATTAACATCGATGTATTTATATAATATTATACCAATTATTCCACTAATTTATATGATAAATAATAGAACTTTGTTTTAAACAATATTTTGTAGAAAAAGTAATAAAATGATTAAAAAATTCAAATTTATTTTTATCAATCAAAGATATTTTTAATTGAGGGCATTTTTTTAATATTGATTTGTTTCATTTATCAAATGAAACTTTAATTAGTCTAATTAGACGTATATTTTTAATTAAGATTTATTTAATATGTATACGTTATTAAATTATCATATATTAAGGAATCATAGAATATAATAGATAAAAATTTTAACCGTGAAAAAAGTGAAAAGTGCTATTTCCAACGTAACAAGGAATTTCGCGCTATAAAACATTATGATCCATTATTAATTAAGTGATGAGAATAAAAACTGAAAAGTAAAAAAAAAATGACGGGTCATCGTTAAATGCGATATAACGTTCCACATAAATAAATTACCGAACATTGAATATTCGTGAAAAATTAACCGATCTGGCAGATGTGGACGCCACGTACCAGGTGCTGAAGCAGGCTAGCGAGATACGTGGAAACTCGACAAACTCACCATCTACGCCTCCTACAGCAGATCATCCTGCAGCACAGACTTCGTCATCGAGGATAACCACCTCCTCCCAACCTTGTTCCTCGTCTACCTCTGGTAAGACTAATGTGCTGTCCATCCTCTTATTCGTCTATCTGTGTGTTTGCCTTTATCTATTTACACACCTACACTTTGCACACTTCTCTCCATTTTCTTCTCCTTTATTCGCATAATTGTTTCCGTCACTTTCTTTCTCTCTATCTTTTATATCTCTATATAATTTACATTATATCTCTATCTATTTATCTATCTATCTACCTAATTAAGTTCATTTTTCTATTTATCTGTATATCTACCTCAATTAATCGATCTATCCATCTATCTTTTTATCTGTACACACACACACACACACACACACATATATATATATATATATATATGTATATAAATTAATCAATAAATCTATCTACTTATCTATCTGTCTATGTACCTATCCATGCATCTGTATACCCATTTATTTATCTATCTTTCTATGCATCCATCCATCTATCTATCTATCCTATTTTGCTTTATTTTATATCTTCTACTTTTTACATATTTTAACATAAAAATTTTAATATTTATAATATAGTAGAATAATAAGAACAAATGTTTCTCAAACTAATACAAACATATTATTCATTGAATATCGGCTATTTATAATTGATAGTGATGAATAATTTATACACTTTTTAAATATTATATCTACTTCATATATAATTGAAAATCAAATAAATATAACACTTTTTTTTTTAATTCAATTAAAAATTAATTTTCAAGTCATGTAATTTTACATACATTATTGCATCGTGTATATTGTTATTTAAACGTTTAATTAAAAAATTTTTTAAATTATTTTCCTTTTCAATTCTAAGTTTGTTTAAGATTAATATTTTATCTATCTACGTTATATAATTTCGTTATAAAATTAGAATTAAAAAAAATTATAAATGTTTTTAATTAAATATTTTTATTGATAACTTATAATTTTTGTAACTAATATTTTTCTTTGATCTAAATATATGAATATTTATGTAGTTTCAACGAATTAAAAAATTCTTATAATCAATTCACAAAGTCCAAAATTAATTTTAATTATTTAAAACTGATTAAAAGGATATGCATATGAATTATATTTTTAAGATAAGCTTTAAGAAGTTGGTCCTAGTATTTTTAAACACTTCTAACAAAATTTATTTTCATTTTCATAATTTAATATTTTTTGTTATATATTACAACTAAAATTATATTATGTATAATAAATCATAATTGATATTATTTACAATACACTTATTAGTATTAGATTATAAATTTTAAATTATAAATCTTCAAATTTCAAAACTATCCTGAATAAAAATATATTTTCTATCGTTGTATGTAATTTTCAAGAATATAAATAAATTAATTTTTACATTATATATAACAATTTTTGTACCAAATAGTTATGAATAATATATATTCAAATTAATATATGTATGAATTTTAAATATTAAGGAACGATAAGAAAGCTAAAAAATTAATGTTGCTACATATTATCTACTATATTTTTCTGAACTATATGATGATATATTATTAAAATAAAAAAGTACGTGCATACGAATTTTAAAATAACAATTTAATTTGGCAAACTACTTATAGTTCGTGGGAAATTCGATCAAAGTACATGCGTCATCCATCAATATATCATATTCCCTCGAAAGCGTATATTGTTATTATGCTTTACTATATAATCAATAATATATTGAATACAATATTTACAATATTGAGGGAAATATAAAAGATAAATTATTAACAGTCTCTTATTTCTTCTTTTTCTCTCTTACCGTATGATCTTTCAAAATATAAAAATTTGGAATTCTATTTTTATAGATTTAATTTGTAATTATATTTATTATCATTATCTATTCATCTACAGATATAGTTAAAAATGTACAATACACCATTGGTTATCTAATATTTATGTGTATCTAATATTTATTTAATATAATTTTAATTGTTTTATTGTTATTAAAATTCATTTTATATTAATGTAATTGTTTATCACTATTGCTTTGGCCACATATGTAATTTAATTTTAGCATTAAAAATAGTTTTGAAATATAAATTGTATGATTGTATATTAAAGTATATTTATGTATGCCTTACGCATTAAAAGTATGATATATAATATATATGGTGTACATTTTTAGTTATATACATTATATTATTTGACACACGTACATATTGTATTATAATTGTAATCATTTATAATATATTATTATTATTATTATTTATAATATATTTATTTTACCGTCTGTATATCCGTTGAAAATCTCTTCCAAAAATTCTCATAAGTATGAAAAATTTATCTATTAAAATAATACATCAATGTAAAAGCCAGATATTTATGTAATTTGTGATTTAAATTTATACATATTTAATTTATTTAGAGAAAATATTTTTGCATAGTTATGAATATACTGTTTTAGTTTATTTAAATTTAAATTATTGTTATTATAAGGAGATTAAATATAAATAATATTTATTGAAAATTCTGTAATTAACTAACGGTTAAATATTTATGAAATAGTTTATTTATAAAATTTAAATAAGAATATACAAATGTTTAAATTATTTGAAAAATTGTATTGAAGTGCTTCATGTATTCATTTAAAATTTGGTTTTATAGTGAAAATGTATTTATAACTTATAAATTTAATTAATTAAATTTAATGAGACATAAATATTCTAGTATTTGTTTATACAACAGTATTATTCGAAAAAAATACTATTGTACCAACTATCCATCTTCATATTCTTTATATAAACACTAATTATGATGTATTCAATTCAAATACACTTTATGTCACTTTCCTTTTAGCTCCCGATAATGTTTTTCCAGATTATGTTTCTTTATGTTTAGAAAATTAGTATAAATATTATTACATTTATTTTTTATTAATAGATTAATATATATAAATAAATATATATATATATATATATACATGTGTGTGCGTGCGTGCGTGTGTATATACAATGCCATTGCATGTCGATAAAACTGATATATTTACATAAAGAAGACCATTGTATTTAAGGTGTACATAGAAGTTATAAATACTAATAAATTCAGGTACATAAAATTTTTATGATTCTTTTTTATTTTTCGGAAAGGTAGTTCCTTCACATTTAAAAACATAACCGTATATTGATGAAAATAATTAATATTTATATATGTGTAAGCATACAATTACCTATTATCAACCATAATAATGACGAAAATTTTTTTATTGATTTTATTATTGATTGTAATTATTGATTAGTTATTATTATTGATTCATTAGATCTTATGATTTTGTTATCTGAAATATAAAAAGAAATTAAAAAATGTTTACTCTCTAAATAAAAGCTATTAGTATGAAAAACAAATATAAATGAAACGAGAATAGTTCAATATTCCTGATATATATTTATATATTTAAAGTATATATAAGACGAATAAAATTTATTTAAAGTATCTCAATTATTTTAAAATAAGTCCTAAATCGCGCGTTAAAATAATAATAAAAAAAAAATTTTTTCTTATATACTGGTTAAAAAAAAATGTATTCTTGGTTTATTATAAAAAAAAACCTTTAAATAATAAGAGGGAACGAACTCTATAAATATTCCAACTTTCTAAATTACGGATATTTAATTATTGTCCATGTACCTACAAAAATAAAACTATTTTTTCGATATAACACAATATAAGCTTCAATTTTTATTTATTTTAACGTTAAATAAACATTATATTCAAACAATCACTTAAAAAAATTTATTATCATTAATTTTGATAATGATTTAAAAACTCCAATATTTCGATGAGAAACAGTTTTTTAATTTTATAGTATTTGTTTATAAATATGTTTTTATAATTTGGTTTGTCCAGACATTACATTATATTACTTGTGACAAAATTGTAAGCAATCATCTGCCTTTGCAATGAAACTTATAATTTTGTATTAACTTTTAAAATTTTAAAAGATTTAAATTTTTAAAAACATTTTAATACTTACAATATTAAATATATAAATATAATATTCATAATATGTATTTTTTGAGATTTATTTGACAAACATATTTTTAGCGATTTGTTTAATCATAGTATTTTATGTAATTCCTTATATAATTCTTAGCAATAATGTATTACTGTTATGGAATACAAGCCCGTCAAAATACAATTATGAATATTAACAATAATTATTAAGATCACAAAAAAAATATTTTATTTTTATTGCGACTTACTCTAATTCTTCTCTCATTCATTTATTTACTTATAATTGGGCCATGAAATAAATACTTAATGGTTCATTCTGAATTCACTTTTATTAAAATGATATTTAATTCATTTATAATTCAGAACATTAATTTAATTTTGTTTAATGGGATGCTTATAGTATTCAACTTATAAAATTTTCTGTCTATTTCATTTTGGGTAATTCAGTTTTCTATTTAGTATAATTTTAGTATATGATAACTGATGATCCTATTCTAACACACAATAGTAAAGCTTTACATAATTTCTGTAACCGTGTACTTCAAACTAATACTGTATATCGTAATTATATTTTCGTGTTCAATGTTATATGATTCTTGTCTGAAAATTAGAAAATTTATATTGAGCAAGACATAAGGTTAAATATTAATATTTTTAAAAGAATCTCTCTTAACAAATTTTTTAATAGTATTTTAATAGAACTTAATAGATTTTAATAGTATTTATAAAATTATTGCGTAGAATTTTATAAAAAAAAATTTCTTTCAGTGTAGTTAGTTTATTCACACAATATCATGAACATATTATGAATCATATTATAATATTGTTATTAATAAGTAACATTGATGATTCCATCAATTGCAGTGGCATGAAAATTTTATTAAGAATTCAATGCTCATTTTTAGAAACTACGTCTTATTAGAGATATTATTTGTAATTTTATAATTAATCTTTGATGAGAAATATTTATCATATTTAGATCCAATATCCCTATTGATATATAAAATTATAAAATTCTTTAAACTTTATTTATCAATATAAAACTCTTTAGCTGATTTAATCT